ATCCCTAGTATTATTAGTGGTAATACTGGCACAAGGCGGCAGATAAGGAAGAGATAACTGTGATTCAAGTCATACCAAATCCTAAATGAGCTAAAACTGCAAAAAACTAATTCCATTTAACACGATGGAATGCAGTGGCAGTTGTTTCCTTACTGTAAATGATGTTTAACTAAGTGCTAGAATTAAAGTACAGTTGACGCCATTTTCCTAAAGGCCATCTGTTCCGTAGGAATGAGCTTTTCGAGCCTACGGCCCAAAACCTTAGCTAGTATTTTTGCATCAATGTTCATAAAAAAAGACAGATTAATGTACTTCCTATATGCCATTTCTTTTAAGTAGTTCTGGGTGTAAAACCTTGTGCATCTACAGGGTCTATAATCCTGATGGCAATTGGTGATGGTTGCTGGTTCGATTCTGGATCGAGTCACTTTGTTCCATTTCACTTCCTTTCTCTGTAAGTCTACCATCAAGCTACTGATGGATAAAAATAATTACTGCCACAAATCTTTAAAAAATGGGGATTCATTTGCTCATTTTAACACTTTTAATATGTTCTGACTCATTATATGAACTTGGTTTATCAACTTGATCCTCTCTGACTGTTGTGTTCAGTGTTAAAATTCTCCCAGCTGGAGTGAAAACACGATAAGCTTTGTTTATTTCCTGTGTGCTGCAAAGCAATGATCTCACTCACATCTGATCAGACCTCATTTTTTCCTTAGTCAGAGGAGCTGCTGTGCATCGCTAAAGGTTTTTTTTTCCTTGCCATTGTGCCACTTTTACTGGGACAAGCAGGGTGTTTATATCTGTGCTCTGAGACTAGAGCCAGATTCAGTTTGCGACTTGCACAGCTGCTGTGTTCAACTCAAACAACACCACTGGCCAGAATTAGTCTTTCTGGCCAAGCTGTGATTTTTAAATAAGGTTTTCTTAACGTCTTGCCTGCCTGTTAATTAAGAAACTGTCTGGCCCAGTTTGCTTTTTAGTAAGTTGCTGTCTAGGGAAACATTTAGAGTCTTATGAGCTCCTAACATCTAAATATAATGGATCAGAATATAAGAACATCATCCAGTAAGTTTGTATATTTGGCTCTTTCTGTGGGTGCTGCACAACAAAGGCTCAGTGCTCTGAGTTTCTTAAGATGTTGCTCAGTCAGGTCTCATTGCCACTGACCCATCAGCTCGTCGCCTCTTCTCCATGAAAGCTTCTGGCTCGGCTCAGAGCTGCCTGGCAGCTGCAGTTGCCTCTGATATTTGTGGGACCCTCATACACATGTAACCAGGATAAATTTTCAATATTAGATTCAATTTATTTTTATTTTCCATTTTGTTAAACTTAGTTTTATCTATCTTATTTAAAGATTTAATAAAAAATCCTCCTTTCCTTAATTTATCCTAT